GACAGAAATAAAAATCGTGTACCTTTTCTGTTACTAGAAAACACAGTTATCTGTGTATGATACATCTTAACCTAGATTTCTGTAACTGGATTAGAATGTATGAAATTTGACACTAAGTAAAGTGTTATTTCATACATGGCAATACATGGAGTTGGAGGTTGTATTCATAGTCGAGCACTTGGGAAAAAACATTATGGTGCACCGCAGGAAAACTATTGATTTTACTTCTGATTCTGAACAGTCTGTGAGGAAAAAGTAATGAGCAATAAAAAGATGTTTTCTAAAGGGAGACATTTCATCTTAGCAACAGAACTGGAAGTATTGAAACCACATTTCCTCATCAACAGTGCAGTGTTCAGTATAATTAACATTCGAACTATATGTACATTAAATACCACTAGTAGTTCTATGGGACAGTTGCATTTTTTTTTAAATCTTTGCTTTTGCTTGTGAGTCCATTTGTTTTGATCCTTCATTGTAGAAACAGAGGAAGGAAGGAAGATTGTCTCAGAGCTGGGCTTTATTTCTAGCTCTGCTGTGGAGTTCCTGTATGACCTTGATAAGTTATATAATATTTGTGCCTTGGTTCCCCAAATCTAAGATGGGGATAATACTTTAATGTTAGTTGGGTATGGTGAGGATACATTCATTAATGTTTGTGAAGGGCCTGCATATTATGAGTGATGGGGGTTATGTAAGTAGATAGTCTAGTAAAGATTTAGTTTTTATTAAACTGCTCTTCATAAACAACAGCTCTTTATATATTTTAAAGAATAAAGCATGGCATCACCAGAACTGAAACATCTTTTGGTTTACACTGAATTAAATGAGGATTATTTTTCTTATTATAGAAGGCACTTTCCAATTAAGTGCATTGACTAGATAAGATATTTGATTAATCATATTAGAGAGTCTCTTATCTCGATAAACACTTCAGTGGTAATTCACAATTATAGTGGCTGGGGGATATGCTAGTACTGACCTCGGAGTTCAAAGCTGAACTTGAAGGTTTACTGACACAGTAACTCCCTCCTTTCATGTATTTATACCTGCTCCGGTATTTTCCACTCCATGCATCTGATGAAGTGGGTTCTAGTCCACAAAAGCATATGCCTAAATAAATGTGTTAGTGTCTAAGGTGCCACAAGGACTCCTCGTTGTTTTTGCTGACAGCTATCAAATTAACACATTTGGGATCAATGTTTTGCTTTATTTTCTAATACTACTTGCATAAAAGTCAGCATGCTAAAGACAACATTACAGTGTGTTCGCAAGCCGTGCTTCATTAATTGAAAAATATGCCTCCAGCATGTATGTGGTAATTATGATTCCCCCTCCCCCATTGCAAGTTATTTTTCTCTTGCCATTTTCCTTTGTCCAGAAATGGTGAAGGGAAGCCAGGTCAACATAATTCTACGGTTCAAAAGTGGATTCTGCTGCATAACTCTGGGCAAAGAGTTCTGATAGATTCAAAATTTCTCTCTCATCCAAGCTGAATTGTGAACTTGACCAGTTTTTTCAAACCTCATCAATAAGTAGATCTTTTCTCCCTTTACCTCTTAGGGTCAATAACAGATAAGAGAAAAATTGACTGTATTTTTGCTGTAATTTATACATTATATAATATTGCTACACCTTTGTTTTCTATCATTTATACTGCTGTACATTGTATTGCAAGCAGGAGACTGGCAGCTGCTCATTGCTCTCTGCATCTTACTTGAGGACATAAGCAGGCCCTAATGCTACAAAGCATATTGGGATATAAATTATATAAAAAGACATTGTACAAAATAGGACCAGCCCTGCAGACACTCTGTGTAGATGTTCTCTCCAATCAGAGTTGTGTGTGTGCAGAGCAGCTCCTCTAAAGATGCACTGGACTGTGAACTAATTCGCAGACCTTAAAACAAAACAAGAAAAAGCCAGTTTTATGTATTTTATTTCTGAAAATGCCTAAACAACAGTAACTGGAAAAAATCACATCAATATTTTCCATAAACATATGTTTGAAGTGTTACTGTATATACTCTGCATGTTTGAGATACTCAAAACAAGTTCTATTCAAACAAGCTTAGAGGAGTTGTAACTCTCTGTCATGGGGTTGTGGCTGCCCTGCATCGCCCCCTGCTGGCCAAGTGTGGCACTGCCAGCACTCCCTGCCTCAGTTTCTCTCCCCAGGGTGGATCTCCTTGGCTTACCAGACACCAGTCTGTTCTGGAGATGTGGTTTATCCCTCTAGCCAAGTCACAATCAAGCCTAACCCTTCCAGGGTAGCAAACTGAAAGTCCCAACAAACAAAAAGTTTCCTCTGCCTTTTGGGGGCTTCTCTTCAGCCCACCCTCTAGGTCCTATTCCAGCCTCTTTCTGCGCTATCTTTGAGGGTCTTTATGGATCTGGGATAGAGTGCTTAGCCCCCAGCCTGGTTTGCTGGAGTACCATTCCCAGCCCCTTCTGGGCTCCATTCCTTGCATCCTTCCCTACTCCGGTATAGAGCACTGGGACTGAAGCTTGTTTTCCTGAACTACCCTTTCCCCTTCAGACCCTAGCTTAGGGCCTTCCAGAGAAGCCTACCTGCTCCCTGATCTCACTCTCAGTCCTTCTATAAGATCCAGGCGTCCATTAATCTATCACCTGACATTCCTTAATCCCACCCCTGCAGGCTCGGAAACAACTAATTAATTATGGCACAGGTGTGTCTGACCCCATTTCCCCTGAAATGGACCAGTCACTCCACGATATTCTTCAGGAGCAATACATAAAAGACCCATGCCAAAATAAAAAAGGGCCACACAAAAATATGTCCTAGTAGTAAATTGAAAAAAGCATTGCTTTCAAAACTGATATCTGAAAACAAACCGATTTACAGATTTAGTGCAAAAGGCTCCCCCCAACCCAACCCACTGCTTCCATTAGTGACACAGCTGGCTCATGCTAGCTGAGAGTGCATGGCAGTGGAAACTGCATCATGTCAGGCTCCTTTTTTTGCTCTTAACCCTAAACCCTGTTGTGACAATCGGTCTATAACTTTGGCCTACTTAGGAGTTTATCAGGGAAAGTAGGTCAAGATATTTTCAATAAAGAATGTTATAAACAGGTGGAAGAAAACCAGACAGAAAAACAGAATTAGTGCAAACAAAAAGGACCTATTGATAAGTCTGAAAGATGATGTTGAGAATGAACTTAATAAATAAAAGAATGTGGGAAGTTAACTATGCCAAATTTGGGCCTGTGGAAATGGATTTAATTGGTGAATGAAATAATGAGGGGATGAACTATGTCCCCCCTTTTGGAGGACTTAAAAGGAGATTTTGAGAAAACATCATGGCTTTCCAGCTCAGCTCATCTTCTTTGACCCCCCACACAGAAGGAACGGACCAGACTAAAGGATTTTCTTCCCAAGAAGAAGGCTAGTAGGCCCTGCTGTTGTTTAAGGAACTTTGTTTTTACTTGAGAGTCCTAAAAGTCACCATATCATGACATCCAGTTCTCAGTCCATCAATGGGGATACAGTGACTCCTCACTTAAAGTCGTCCCGGTTAACGTTATTATGTTTTAAAAAATAAATAAATTAATGGAGATATCCTATCTCTGAGAGCTGGAAGGGACCTTGAAGGTCATTGAGTCCAGCCCCCCGCCCTCACTAGCAGGACCAAGTACTGATTTTGCCCCAGATCCCTAAGTGGCCCCCTCAAGGATTAAACTCACAAGCCTGGGTTTAGCAACCCAATGCTCAAACCACTGAGCTATCCCTCCCCCCAGGATCAATTTAGTTGCTGATCAATTAGGGAACATGCTCATTTAAAGTTGTGCAATGCTCCCTTATAACATCATTTGGCAGCCGCCTGCTTTGTCCACTGCTTGAAGGAAAAGAAGCTGGTTTCAGCTAGCTGGTGGGGGCTCGGGACCAGGGTCGACTGGCAGCCCCCCTATCAGCTTCCTGCTCCCCTAAATTCCCTGTGCAGCAGCCGCCTAGCAGGCTATCAATTGCTGGCAGTTCAGCTATCCCTCCTGCCACTGCCATGTGCTGCTCCTGCCCTCTGCCTTGGAGCTGCTCCCCAAGCCTCCTGCTTGCTGTGCTGGGGGAAGAGGGGGAAGAAGAAGGCTAATGTCAGGGTGTCCCCCTCCCCCTTGCTCCTGCACCTCGCTTACCCCATCTCCATAGAGCAGGGGGGACACATGACAGGGCTCAGGATGGACGGAGCTTCCTGGCAGCAGCTGCATCTCAGCTTGCTGATGAACTTAACAAGGCAGTGTACATAGAGTGGGGTCAGCGTACTTAAAGGGGAAATGCGCATCTCTCTCTCTCACACACACACACACACACACGGTCTGCCATGCTGCCTCCCTCCCTCTATTCATGCTGCCTTGTAGAGTGTGAGTCTACATTAACAACAATGTGATAACCCTTGAGGGCTCAGCCGAACGCTAGTTCATCATTTAGCAGTAAGGCATTCCCTGGGAAATATCTCGCCCTCTGACTCCACCACCTCAACCAAGCTTCACAATCATCATTGCTGTGTACAGTATTAAATTGTTTGTTTAAAACTTATACTCTGTGTGTGTGTGTGTATATATATATATATATATATAGGTTTCCCTGGAACCTAACCCCCACTATTTACACTAATTCTTATGGGGAAATTGGATTTGCTTAACATCGTTTTGCTTAAAGTAGCATTTTTCAGGAACATAACTACAACGATAAATGGGGAGTTACTGTAATAAGTCTGAAATGTTTTGATACTTCATTTGAAGCCCAAACACAAACAGTTCCTTCCCTCTCAACTGGATGATAGAAGTACTGATTTCTCTACTTATCCATCTCCATGCAGAGTGGAGAAACACTGTCTCCTTGCCACCATTTTTATATCAAGTGGAAACCCCCATCTATTTCACACACACTCCAAAATATTTACTAGCTGGAACACCCAATGTATTTGAAACTTCCTAATACTGCTGGATAAGATAATTATTTAACACTTCAAGACACTACAAGGTGCTATTATTCAAGATACTTTAATAAATTAGATCAATACACTTGTCAGACATTCCTGTTTTCACAACAGAAAATGGAGTTTAAAAATTAAATGGTTAAACAAACTAAAATACAGGTTCATTTGGCTCAGCTGGGTCTGCTGCCTTATCTAAAGAGCACACCTGTTAACATTTAGTATCTTTACACAGTGATCATCTCCACAACTTGCAAGCTGCAACCATTCACTGTTGTCTTGGTCGTTATGTCCAGCTCTGCCCACCCGATTTCTCCAGCATAGCCGTTTGATAGCAAGAGTGTGACTTTGGCTGCAATGAAGATGGAAGACATTGAAAAAAAGAATGCATACACCAACTTCAAAATGTCAAACTCAGCTGGACTTCTGAGTTTAAACATCATCATTTATCTAATTAGTGCACTCCCTGTCAGTGCTACCAGCTGAGAAAAATTGACTTGTCATGACCTGAAGGTATTAAACACTCCAGAATTTCTAGGGTTATTAACAACACTAATGACATTTTATCCTCTCACTTGTCAATAATTAAAACGGCTATCAATTTTAAGTTTCACCGCATTAGTTTCAGGTTAAGCATCTCACTTGCTCAGAAATGACACTGTTGACTAAATGCTAGAAACATTGTTTGATGCGTCTTTCAAACTGACTACGTATACATGAGCCAAAGTCACACTGTTCATCTGCAGATCCAAATGTGAATCCCAATTTCTTCAATGTATGGTGGTGGTGCAGGGTGATTCTAGTCCACGGCTCTGATTGGAGTTCATCTATAATTTCTAGTTACAAAATCAGAGAAACACTGTAGCTTCCCTTCCTGTAGTGTACTCTAAAATATTGCTGTCATTTACCGAAGATATCAGTCTAAGGTTTTGAACTGATGATCATGTCCAGGCCGCCAAGATAAAGAGTTGAGTATAATTCCAGTATATTGAGTAATTTTCTTCTTACTTCTTAAAACAGGATGCAATGCATAAGCTAGTGCTTAGGAGCATAATGACTTAGAGCTGGCAGGAGGATGTTTTCACTGCCACTTTTGTGGTTTCAAAATTTTCCATTCCATATTGGAATGAAAACCAAACCTTTTGAAACATTTTCACACAAAACTGATGTGTCTGTGAGTATCTGTCTCACTCCAGCCAGGTGGTCAGGATATCAGTCTGGGCTGTGTCAGACCTAGGTTCAAGTCCCTGCTCTGCCAGATTCACAGTAGTTTTTCATCCCAGATCACTCCAAATCAGGCAGAGCAGGGTGCTTTAACCTGGGTCTCCGCCATCCCAGGCCAATCCTCTACCCACCCAGTTACAGCATCTCTCTGAACAAAAGTTTTGTGGAAACGGATGTCTCTGTGAAACATTTTGGTTCAATGAAATGTTCCTGACCAGCTTTATGATGATTGTTGTATGTGCCCACCAAGTCACTGCAGTACCGATATGTATGCCTTATGTTCTAATCCTTTTGGATTTGCTTTCTGTATGGAAGGTGCCATATAAAACTGCTTGTTCTATCTACAATGCTTCCTGAGCAACAGTGATGATTAGGATGTTGAATTTAAACTAAAAAGTTATTTGGGCCAAATGAACTGAACTGAAGAATTGGTGTTAAAGTATGACTGTGACTTGGGAACAACTATTAGAAAGTCATATTCTGACTGGGGCCTTTCTGGCACAGCTAAAGCTCTGCACCAACTCCCAATGAATAGAGCTGGGATCCCACAGTCGATGGCATAGATCAGTAGAATCACCACGCCATCTCCCACTTCCGACTCCTCTCCACATTTTAACAATGATTTTTTAAAAACATTTTTAAAAGCTTCAATCCTATTTTACCCTTAAAGGTGACATCAAAGGATTTCTTAAAAACTGGGTTTATGCCCTTTTTGCCTTTCTCTGATGTCTAATGGCAGCCTGAAATAATATTTTTGTCTTTAAAAAGCTTCTTTCTCCCTTGGCAATATCAGGAATGCTAATGCTGGTCTTTCCCAAGTTTTGTTGGAGGATATCTTGGGGTTACAGGGGTTGCATATTGTCTTTTTCTGAAAAACTTTTAAAGCTTTTGATACACCATAAAAATAGCAAAAAAAAAGTGTATCTAAATAAATTTAATTCAGAATTCCAATACTGTCCACATCTCAAAAGAAAGCTCTTTCCTTGCATATGACTTGTGTGATAAACTCAGGACAGATAGTCCCAGAAGGTTAAAAGGCCCTCCTCCCTATCAACTGAGGAGAGGTAACTATAGGTCAACCAGGTTCAGCTGAGAAGCAGTTACCAGAGAATCAATTAGGATCAGCTGATTCCAACTAAGGGCTGTGTGAGACCTTTTTAAACCCTCCCGTTGGGAGACGAGGGGGGAGGAGAGAGAGGAGGAGTCAAGCTGCCAGTAGGCTAGGAGCAGCAAGACAGCGAACCTCACCAGGAGGGGAGGCTGCATTCCCTCCCATAAGGGAAGGAAAACAAGCCCAAAAGACTGGCTGAGAGAAGGAACGCACTGCCTCTGTGCATCCTAGAAGGACTGTTTTACTCAAGCCTGTCTCACCAAGGCTAAAAACAGCTGAGGCTGGTGAGACCGAGAAGGTACCTTGCCACTCGTGGTGTCAGAGGTGGGATCTGTGAGTGAGACTTCGTGGTGAACCATCTCAGGGCAGGATAAATCACCCCCAAGAAGAAGAAGAAGGAAAAAAAAGGAGGATGTAGTGAAGGCATTGGTGCAGGCCACCGCAGTCCAACAAGAGGCTACCAGGGTTCCGATGACTACCCAGCAAGAGTCAGTGCAAATACAGCAGGAGACAAATCAATTACTGATGAGCCAGGTGGCCTAGGATCGAGCCACCCTGTATGAGGTTGTGAACCAGCTAAAGGCCCTGACCACTCTGATGCACGGCCCTATGGGACCCGGCCCCTGCGGGCAAGCAACTACTTACAGAAGAGGACAATTGACGATGACGTAGAGGCATATCTCCTCACGTTTGAGAGAACGGCCCAGCGGGAGGCTTGGTCCCAAGACCAGTGGGCAAGTATCCTTGTTCCTTTTCTGTGTGGGGAGGCCCAGAAGGCGTATTTTGACATGACAACAGAAGCAGCTACAGATTACCCCCAGGTGAAGGCGGAGATCCTGGCGAGGTCTGGCGTGATGACAGCCATAAGGGGCCAGTGGTTCCACGAGTGGAAATACTGGGACAGCAAAGCGCCGAGGTCCCAGCTGTTTGACCTGATCCACCTAGCCCGGAAGTGGCTTTCCCCCCGAGACCCACGGCCTGGAGAAAATTGTGGAAACCATAGTTTTGGACAGGTACATGAGTGGGCTACCACCAGACATGCAAGGATGGGTCAGTCAAAATGATCCCTCCTCCTATGATGAGCTAGTTGCCCTTGTAGAGAGACATCTAGCAGCCCAAGAACTTTCTCGGACCACTGGGGAAGGAAGGCACCAGAATAGGAGGCAAGTCTCTGCACTGAGGACCCGGGTTGCCATAGTCCCGGGCAGAACTATGGAGGGGAGGAAGGAGGCTGAAGAGCAGCCGGAGATCGCGGAGAGACTTATGGACTGGGGGAGAAAGACTCAGGGGGTAAGGCCCAACAGCCTGAAAAATAGGGGGCTGCCCCGAGCAGGGTACAGATGTTATGCATGTGGGAAAATAGGGCATATAGCTGCCCAATACCCAAACCTAGAAGAGCCCATGCAATGCGACCTGGGAGATATAGAAGGACCATGCGACCTAATAAATCTAGTAAGGGTTGCGATGGTCCCTCATAGGTATACTATACCAATTAAAATGAATGGCATAGAGACCACTGCATTAGTGGACTCGGGAAGTGAGGTCACGCTGGTCTCGGGAAAGCTGGTCGGACAAGACCAACTATCTCGGGCCAAGCGCACAGGAATATCCTGTGTACATGGGGATGTCAATTACTACCCGACAATCCTGGTAAAAATAGAGGTCATGGGAAACCCCACTAAGGTGACCATGGGAGTAGTCCCAAAACTCCCCTATCCAGTCCTCATAGGATGAGACTTCCCAGGGTTTGGCAGCCTACTCCCTGGAGAGGAGTCAGAAGAAGGTAATAACCCCGACAGCAATGGGATGACCCCAATAGTTAGCACCCCACCGGTCTTCCATGAATTTGCCCAGGATTTGTTCTCTCCTCCTGGGAAGCTCAGGAAGACTTGGCGAGAAAGGACAGCAGATAAGAGGAGGGGAATGAGAATCTTGGCCCAGAACGAGAAGCCTATACTTGTAGAGGAAAGAGTTGGCCCAACCGACAAGGGGACTATGCAGGCGGTCGACGAACCCGCAGCCGGACCCAGTTCCCCGCGGACTCCCCCTGAGAGGGAGACGGAAATAGATCCCCCTGAGTTTGGGCAAATTGGACCTTCACTGGAAAATTTTGGGCAGGATCAGGCCAATGATCCGATATATAACAACATTCGCAAAGAAGCAGTTGAGGTGAATGGGGTCGCTGTGGAAGGGAGAGTCCAGGGTCATATTATATGATAAAGAGGGATCTGCTATACAGAGTAGTCTGGGTCCAAGAGCAAGTCGTGGAACAGCTCTTAGTACCGCAGACACATCAGAGGGGCATGATGGATCTAGCCCACGGCCATCTGTTCGGGGGGCATCTAGGGGTAGATAAAACCCTCGATCGAATTCTGCAGAGGTTTTTTTTGGCCCAGAATTTATGCGGTGGTCCGATGATATTGTGCCTCTTGTCCTGAATGCTAATTATATGGCCCCCGACCACACTTAAGGGCCCCTTTGGTACCTCTGCCGTAGCGAATAGCTATGGACCTAGTAGGGCCACTGGAGAAATCAGCCCGGGGCCGTCAGCACATACTGGTTGTGCTAGATTATGCCACCTGATACCCCAAGGCCGTACCCCTACAGAACACTATGTCCAAGACCATAGCTAAGGAATTAATCCAATTTTTTTCTAGAGTGGGGTTACCCAAAGAGATCCTGACGGATCAAGGAACCCACCTTGTGTCTAAATTAATGAAGGATTAATTAATGAAGGATTTATGTGCAATGCTCCACATATGGACCATACGGATGTCAGTCTATCATCCGCAGACCGATGGCCTCATCGAACGTTTTAATAGAACATTAAAGAACATGATACGAAAGGTGGTCAGCCGGGACGGGAAGAACTGGGACGCCCTGTTGCCATACCTAATGTTTGCTATAAGGGAGGTTCCTCAGACTGCAACTGGGTTTTCCCCATTCAAGCGGTTATATGGTTGCCACCCCCATGGCATACTGGACATTGCCAAAGAGGGTTGGGAAGAACAGCCGAACCCAGGGAGAAACATCATCGAGCATGTGTTGCAGATGAAAGACAGGATAGCCCAAGTCACCCCCTTAGTGCGGGAACACATGGACAGGGCACAAGGGGCCCAGCAGACATACTACAATCGCCAAGCGATGATCCGAAAATTTCAGGTGGGAGATTGGGTAATGGTGCTCGTATTCACAGCGCAGCGCAAGCTCCTGGCCAGGTGGCAGGGGGCCATACGAGATAACAGAAGTCATTGGAGAGGTCGACTATAAGGTCCGACACCCTGGTCGCCGGAAGCTGGAACAGATCTATCATATAAACCTGTTGAAACCTTGGCAAGACAGAGAAGCTCATGTGGTCACTCTAGGGTCGTCACCCCCTGCAAGCAACCAGCCCGGCCAAGTGGGAAAATCCCTGGAATTGACCCCTGACCAATGAACTGAAGTGATCAACATGATCAAACGCAACCAGGACGTATTCTCGGAAATGCCAGGCAGAGCTACTGAGGTTCACCATTACATCCTCACAGAGCCTGGAGTGAAGGTGAATGTCAAGCCATACCGGATCCCGGAGGCGAAAAGAGAAGAGATCAAGACAGAAGTCAGGAAAATGCTGAAGTTAGGAGTCACTGAAGAGTCTCAAAGCCAATGGTCAAGTCCAGTTGTCCTAGTACCTAAACTTGATGGCAGTATGAGGTTCTGCAATGACTTCTGGAAACTGAATGAAGTGTCCCAATTTGATGCGTACTCTATACCCCGGATAGATGAGCTAATTGACCGATTGGGAAAAGTACGATTTTTGTCTACCTTTGACCTGACCAAGGGTTATTGGCAAATCCCCCAGCCAAGACTGACAAAAAGAAGAGGGCCTTTTCAACACTAGAGGAACTGCTTCAGTCCTGCCTTTTGGTCTACATGGGGCTCCCGCAATTTTTCCAATGACTCATGGAAAAACTGTTGCGTCCACATGGCAAGTATGCGGCCACCTATCTCGACGATGTCATTATACATAGCCCAGACTGGGAGACGCACTTGGAGAAGGTGGAAGCAGTCCTGGACACCCTGAGGAAGGCAAGGCTGACTGCAAATCCCTCCAAATGCGCGACTGGCCTAGCACAGTGGTTCTCAAACTTTTGTACTGGTGACCTCTTTCACATAGCAAGCCTCTGAGTGTGACCCCCTTTATAAATTAAAAACACTTTTTTATATATTTAACACCATTATAAATGCTGGAGGCAAAGCGGGGTTTGGGGTGGAGGCTGACAGCTTGCAACCCCCCATGTAATAACCTACAACCCCTTGAGGGGTCCCAACCCCCAGTTTGAGAACCCCTAGGCTAGCAGAAGCCAAATACCTCAGGTATATAGTGGGGAGGAGCATGGTGTAGCCCCAACTCAACAAGTTAGAGGCAATACAGAATTGGCCCCGCCCAGTCCAGAAGAAACAGGTCAGAGCATTCTTGGGACTAGTTGGATAATATAGGCAGCTCACCCCACACTTTGCCACCAGGGCATGCCCATTGACAGACCTAACAAAAGCCCGTGGCCCAGACATAGTAAGATGGACCAGCGTGGCTTAAGAGGCATTTGCAGATCTGCAGACCGCCCTCTGCACCGACCCAGTGCTGGTAGCTCCAGATTGGGAGAAAGAGTTTATCTTGCAAACCGATGCCTCTGAGGTTGGGTTGGGAGCAGTTCTTTCACAAATGGTTGGAGAAGAAGAACACCCAGTCCTGTTGCTCAGTAGGAACTCCTGCCCAGGGAACGTAAATATGCTGTAGTAGAGAAGGAATGCCCGGAGGTAAAGTGGGCCATAGAAAGCCTTCGCTACTACCTACTCGGATGGAGGTTTACCCTCGTCACGGACCATGCCCCTCTGAAGTGGATGCACCAAAACAAAGAAAGAAACACAAGAGTAACAAGATAGTTCCTGTCGCTACAACCCTTCCACTTCAGAGTACAGCATAGGTCCGGAATCAAGCATGGCAATGCGGATGGCCTGTCAAGGGTGCACTGTTTGCCGACCCAAGTAGCCAACCCTGTAATGTTGAGCAGGGAGGTGGGATATGTGATTAAACTCAGGACAGACAGCTGCAAGGGAGGGGTAGAAAACAGTCCCAGAAGGTTAAAAAGCCCTCCTCCCTATCAACTGAGGAGGGGTAACTAAAGGTCAATCAGATTCAGCTGAGAAGGGGTTACCAGAGAATCAATTAGGATCAGCTAAGAGGAAGTTACCTGAGCTCAATTAAGATCAGCTGATTCCAACTAAGGGCTGCCTGAGACCTTTTTAAACCCTCCCCTGTTGGGAGAAGAGGGGGGAGGAGAGAGAGGAGGAGTCAAGCTGCCAGTAGGCTAGGAGCAGCAAGACAGCAAACCTCACCAGGAGGGGAGACTGCATTCCCTCCCATAAGGGAAGGAAAAGGAGCCCAAAAGACTGGCTGAGAGAGGGAACGGACTTCCCCTATGCATCCTAGAAGGACCCTTTTACCCAAGCCCGTCTCACCAAGGCTAAAAACAGCTGAGGCTGGTGAGACCGAGAAGGTACCTTGCCACACTTGTAAGACAGGATAGGTCTGGAGAACTGCTCATGAGCCCCTTCACCCAAAAAAGATACCTGTTGTCAGTCTCGACACATTTGGTCCAATCAGTCAACACTGGTCTCTGCTCACACTGCTTCCATGTGTACAAGTTAATCTTCCCACACTCTAACCCTACTGCAATGATGTAGCTGTTGAGAAGGAACAACTGTGTTATTTCTAAAAAGCTTGAATCAACAATTTTCAAAAAAGCTGATTACTGCCCAAATCATACACATTTTATGTTGAAACCTGCTCTTCAAATCAATATTTTATCATCATCAAAAGAACATGTAAATGAAAACAAAAATATAATGTTAAAAGAGAGCAAGCAACAGACCCAGAAAAGGCTTGCACTGACTAAAGTGGAAAACAAATATCAATTTCAGGTAAAAAGAAAAAAACCACCAACAAATGAATTATAGAATGCAGAGGTAACAATACCTTTCATCAGGAGCAAGCACATGGCTGATACTGACTGCAGTGACAGAATCCCCAACATCCAGTATTGAAGAGCAAGGCTTGACTGCACCTGGCCCACTGCTTTCAGTAGCTCCAGCTGAGCCACAGTCACCCCAGACAATGACCTATTAGAAAGAAGAGAGTCAATTGTTCCCTTTTATCTTTTATGTATCTGTGCTTAGGAACTAAGACCACATCAGGAATAGCAGTAATTTTGTATTGTGGTATGGAGGTAGATAGAGCAAAACTCTCCCCCCCCCCGCTGAAATAAACAACAGCTTCTATTTATAGGAATTCAAATCTTTCTTAAAAACAGAGTTTAGAGTGGTATTATTAAAGATATTGGTAACAATATTTGGTAAATATAAGTCTACTTGTAAGAGCGGAATGAATCAAGTTACAGAATCCTTGATTAAAAAACACATGCACAAAATGACATACATCATGTTCCCCTTTTGTTGCTATACACAATAAAAAAAAAGCAAATCACTGGCCATAATCTTGCACATGCTTATGTACGTGCTTAGCTTTATGCACCCAAGTAGCCCCAATGACTTCTGTGTCACTATTCATACATATGATACAGTTGCTAAATCCAAATACGTTTATTTCAACTCAATGCTTACTTTATGCTGCTCTATTTGTTAGTTCCTTTTGTATTAGTTACCTTTTTGTCCCGACTTCCGGTAATGAAATATTTGCTGTCTGGGGTCCAATCACAAGACCAAATGATCCGGCTATGCACTGCTGTGTTTTTGTCTGTGTACGCAAAGAGGCTGAAAACGGGTTCTGGAATAAAACAAGTAAACAGAAGAAAAATCCTTGTGATTATCTTTTGTAAAAAAAAAAAGCCTGCTCTTATTTTGCTTTGAAAGCAGTAAAGGGAGGGGACCAAAACTACAGAAATAATCCTGTACAATCCCACCCTCAGCTCCGAGTGACTTTAGTGGGAACTGGGGTAGTCAGCACTTTGTAGGAAGGATCAAGCCATATTCCTTTCATATTTATTATATATGAACAGCGACCAATATAAATATAACTAGTCAGCCTAATTACAATATAATACCATTAGTTGTAACACCAGATGATAGCAAAAACAATTTTATCTTCTGTATGCATTTCTCTCGCTCTGAAAATGTATCCATGTCTATAAGAATACTCTTTCATATTCTACTTGGCCTAATTCTATGACATACTGTTTATTTTTGATAGTATCTTAATAAGTACATTTTAGTGGCTTTGAAAAGTATTACCAATGTAACTTTCACTTTATCATCATGTGTGCAGAAGTCACTGACCCAATAACAGTTCTTCATTCTTTACTACAAAAAACTCCAGTGATATTGCAAATTTTCAGAATTATGCAGTCTTGGGTCACCATTTTTTGTTTTAAGTTTAACTGTGAACAACAGAAAAGTATTCTCATTTACTGCAATGGAAAAAGCAGTAATATTAAATTTTATTAGGCCTTTAAATTTCTTAGGATGGCAGTAAATGTAGTTTTATTTCAAACTGATTTGGGGATTAGTACTTTGTTGACAGATGGGTTCTGGATTTGTACATGAAAAGAGAATCTCTTCCGTCCACCTCCCACAGAGTACTCATGATCTTCAACTTGGAACACTGTGTGCCTATTTGGAGTTTAAACTAAATGTGCCAATCTTATTCCTACTGCTTTATTAAAGTAACACAAACTAACAAAGGAAGTTTCTCCAGTGAGAGGAGTACTGTAAACAAGCTAGCAAGATTAGCGCTCGATTGGACTGGCATACTTAAACATCAGTAACACATCCTTTCAGAAGTTAATGAGCAAAAAATCTTGGGAAAGTGGGAAGTACAGCAGATTTTCTTATTCATATCTTAGACCTCATCTACAAAGTAAAACACCAAACATTTTTCCTTCCTTTCACACAAAACTTTAAAATAGATGCTGAAACTTAACTGAAAACAACATTCAAAGTTGACTGCTTTTCTGACTGAAATCAGTGGAAAAGACTCGATCTCTGTTAACAAAGCGTCCTTCCTGTTTCACAGGAAAATGGCAGTCTCTGTGGAATAAGCTCAGAGCCTTCCACAGCCACAAAATGTTGACATTTTTATTTATTTCTTTAATTTATTTGCCATTTGCATTTACATTTTTGTACTTCCCCAAAATCTCTCTGCAATGTTTAAAAAAATCCTAACCCCAACCCCTCCCGAAAACAAAAAAACAAACAAACAAAAAAAACCATCCAGTCCACCAACCACTGGAGTTTCCTTTTAGCAGATTATTTATGGGAGATAACATCAAACATCAAAATCTGGGGATATTTAACTTATTTAGAAGAATCAACACAGCCAATTTTCATATCTGACAAAACCAATGGAAATTTAAGTTTTAATAATCTAATGTACTATCAGGCAAGAAAGTTTGTTTTTAAAAGTGATTTTTAACCTAATAGTGTTGCTTTAGGCCTTGTCTACACTATATAGTTTAGTTGACAAAAGTCAACTTTTGTCTACAAAACAGTGGAGATACACACATTAAAATGCTCCTCCCACCGATGTAACTCTCCTGCTACGCCAACATAATAAAACCACCTTGACAAGCGCTAGAGCTTTTTGCGACCCAGTTACAGTGACGCAGCATTAGTATAGACAATGTGCATGATTATGTTGCCCTAATTGGCCTCCAGGAGGTGTCTCCCAATGCCCATCATGACTGCTGGTCAGCAGTTTGAACTCTGCTGCCCTGAAGGTACACAGGTATGAACCCCTCCCACATTTAAAGGCCCAGGAAATTTGAAATTCCTCCTCCCATTTGCTCGGCATGCACAGTTCACACAGCATCTTCCCAGCTGACCATGCCAGCTTTCCACAGCAGATGCTTCCCTGCATGGAGCACATCAGAGCTGTTGGATCTACTGAGTCTATGGGGAGAGAAGGCTGTGCAGTCGCAGCTTTGCTCCAGCCATAGGAACTTTGATACTGACGGTTGATTGCTAGTGGCATGCAGGAGAAGGGGCACGGGTGGACATGCAGCAGTGCTGCTCTAAGATCAAGGAGCTGAGACAGGCGTGCCAGAAGGCCAGGGACGCCAATCATTGCTCTAGTGCGGCGCCGAAAACATGTTGCTTCTATAAGGAGCTGCATGCCATCCTCGGCAGCGATCCCACCTTCTCCTCCAAGCGCCTGTGGATACTTCAGGGGAACTAGAGGCAGCAGCCAGCAGTTGATGATGAAGTGGTGGACGAGGAAGTGGAGCTGGAGGATCATGTGGCGCGCACAGCAGGGTTGTCCAGTGGTATGGTGAGTCGGGACCTCTTTTCCACTCTGGAGGGGTCTAGCCAGTCCCAGCACTCTGGCTCTGGCATGCAGAGGAGGGGAGTTCCGATAAGTGTTCATTTTGCTTTGATACTGCACGGTGAGAGGAGATTGAGCAGTCAGGTACTTTGTTATATGGTAGAGGAGGGATAAGGGACAGAAATTAACAATAGAGCCTGTCCATATATGCAGTGGGGCCACGGCGGAAAAGTTTATTAATGTACATACCGGTAGGGATGTCCTGGTAACCCTCCACAGAGATCTCTAGGAAACTTTCCTGCACGTATTCTGCAATCCTCTGCTGAAGGTTCCTTTGCAGAGCTGCCTTGTTTCTCCCCTGGCTGTAGGAAACTTTGCCATGCCATCTGGCAATTATTTCTGCAGGGACCAGAGTGTCACACAGGCGAGCAGCATACAGAGTTGGTCTGAAGCAGCACACATGCAGGAGATGCATCTTGCATCCTGGGTTACCCTCAGGAGTGAAATATTGGATTTGATTACCCTAGGCTATGGAAAAACGTACCAGTATTCAGAACTGTCTCCCTAGTCATTTGTAGTGATCCCCTTCGCAAACCACCTGTGATACTGCACCCCATATTTTTCACAGTGATATTATCATATGATTATGTCATAATTATGATGCATTTTGTACAAGATGGGTTGTGAGGTGTCATTGGAAAGGTATGATTTGCTGAATATGATTATGCTATTTATATGCATGTATCATTTTTGTATCTAAAGTTAGGAATATTAACTATGTATCTGTATTTCAATTGTGCTTATTCTGGGTGACATCCACAACTAGCCTTTCTGGCTAGTGAAGAAGAAGCCAGACAGTGCTGATGGCCCATCAGCAAAGACAATGGACCCTGGAAGAACTTCACCTTCCTGTGAATGCTCCAGACAAGCTGTAAGTAATGGCTGCTATGACTCAGCAAGGTATGCAAGGGCATGTGACCAGACCACATGACTAGACTCCATCGTGGGATGTCAATGTTTTTCAATAAACTGAGTTTGGGAACAAAGGGTTCCCGCCATATGCTAAAGCTATATAAGGCAGGGAGTGACATCATCTGTTGTTCTTCACTCCCTACACAAGAGGACTCCTGGAAACACCTGAGGAACAAAGACTGAACTGGGGGAAGTGCTGGACCCAGGATAAAGGGATTTCTAGCCTGTATGAAAAACCTGGCTATTCCAAGCTGTAAAGCAGGTGCAGCTTGTACCTTGAGAATCTGCTAGCCTGCTTGTATCATCAGTCAGGGTGAGCGATTGTTAATTCAAATCCAATCTTTCTAGTATGTTAAGCTTAGTTTGCGTTTTTGTTTATTTACTAGGTAATCTGCTTTGATCTGTTTGTTATCACTTAAAATCTATCTTTTGTAGTTAATAAATTTGTTTTTGCTTTATCTAAACCAGTGAGTTTGAAGAAGTGCTTGGAAATCTTAGCTCAAGGGGCAAAGGCTGTTGCCTTTCCTTTCCACATTGAGAGGAAGGTGAACTGGATAATAAATTCATACTGGTCGGGGTTTTAACCAGGGAAGGACAGTATAGCTCTGAGGTCCTAGATTGGAAAGCTGGAGGTTATTTTGGCTGTAGCCTCTCTATTGTTGGGTCATGCAGTGACTGGTCAGAGAGCCTGCATGTAACTGCAGCTGGGTGGGTCTCTGCCAATGTGAATGCTGGTAGAGGTGTAGGACTGGGAGCGGGTCTGCAGCTCGTCACAGCGGCACAGTGTGAGAGGGAGCCCAGGCTGGTGGGTCAGAAGGCTTAGTGGTATCCTAGTTCTAGGTGGCATCCCGGGGGGAACCCATCACACCACCCTTTATCAATTCTTGCCTATTCCCCCTTGTCATCCTCCTCCCCTGCAAACTCATCATATTTGGGACTCATGCTGACCTGCATGCTAGCCCAGGGACAGTGAAAGAGCTGTGTGTAACTTTTATGATTCACGGCTGTAAGCACACACACAATACTGTCTCTGTTCAGTGTTTCTTTTGCTTCTGCAGATGTGCCCTTGTCCTCTACACCAGCAGACAGGGCTGGCTGCAGGCACCAGCAAAACAAGCAGGTGCTTGGGAAGGCACATTTCTTGGGGCAGCATTCTGGTGCTGGCCATCATAGGCGCTGCCTCCGGGACATGGGGAAAAAGGGCCCCCGCCGCCCCAGTTCGCCTCCGCTCCGCCTCTGCCTGCTCCCCTGAGCGCGACGCCGGCTCCGCTTCTCCCCCCTCCCTCCCAGGCTTGCCGCGCGTGAAACCGTTATTTCGCACAGCAAGGCTGGGAGGGAGGAGAAGCCGAGCGGCGGTGGTGGAGCAGAGGTGAGCTGGAGCGGGGAGCGGTTCCTCTACCCCCCTGTTATTTCCTGCACCCTCCCGACCCTAGCTCACCTCCGCTCCGCCTGCTTCCCTGAACGCGCCACTGCTCCGCTTCTCCGCCCTCCCTCGCCTGAGAGGGAGGGGCGAGAAGCGGAGCAGCGGCACTCCCAGGGGAGCAGGCAGAGCGGAGATGAGCTAGGGCGGGAGGTCGCGGGGGGCCCGCAGGAAGCAATGGGGGGGGGGGAAATGAGATGTTTTGCGAAGTGCTGCAGTCAACAGATGGCAAAACAAGAGCACATGGCAAAACAAGAGCATGGCGGGAGTCAATTAATGAAAGACTGAGGCTGGATAGCTGGAAAGGACACAAGGGCAGAAGCAATGATAAAGCTCCTGGAGGGCCAGACAGAGATGATGAAGTCCCTCATTACCCTGCACTATGAGCAGGTCTGTGCACAACTTTTGCTGTAACCACTACAGAACTTCAGTCCATGCCCTCCCTAAACTCCCCTACCACATTCATCATGTGTTCTTGGTCCCTCACAATACCCTGCGCACTCGACGCCTAGGGACTTGTTTCCCAATGAAAGCTGGACTGGAGTTACACACAGCTGTGAGAGCCCTAACCATGAGACTGTTTCTCATTGTCATGTCCCACGTTTGACCAAAAATTTGTGTTTTGTCCTGTTATTAAACTTGAATTTTTGAAATAAAACGAGTCTTTATTTATGACATACACACATCAGTCAGTGCTAACATTGAAACACAGTGGCTAGAGGTGGGAATATTTGCTTAGTACAATTAATGCTCAGGAAGCAAGCACTACAGGGGCAATTCAAGGGGACAAGTAAACACTGCCTGGCTGAATGCATTCCATAAAGACACATTACTGGGACTCATTGTCAAAATGCTCCTTGAAAGCCTCCCGGATTCAAACAGCCTTCCACTGCACCCCTCTAACTGCCCTTGTATCTGGCTGCTCAAAATCAGGAGCCAGACGGTCAGCCCCAGTCGTCCACCCCAGGAAACTTTTCACCCTTCGCGTCGCAAACATGCAGAGTACAACAGGCCACAATGACCATCGGAATATTTTTCTCACTGAGGCCTAACCGGCCAGCAGTCGAACAAAGGCACATTCAACAATTATTCGATGCCTGCTGAGCCTGTTGTTGAAGCGCTCCTTGCTGCTCATGAGCCACAGGAGCAAGGGGTAAGATGGGGTTTCCAAGGATCACTAGGGGCATCTCCACATTCCGCACTGGAATCTTCTGGTCTGGAAAGAAAATCCCAGCGTGCAGCTTTCTATACAGTCCAGTGTTCTGAAAGATGCGTGCATGATGCACCTTCCCTGACCATGCTGCATTGATGTCAGTGAAACGGCCCTGGTGAGTCACTAGCACCTGCAAGACCATGGAGAAGTAGCCCTTTCAGTTGATGAACTCCGTTGCAAGACGGTTGCGGGGGCCAAAATTCAGATGTGTTCCATCTATCGTCCCGCTGCAGTTAGGGAATCCCATTGCCTCAAAGCCATCAATTATTTCCTGCACATTACCGAGAGTTACAGTCCTTCATAGCAGGAGGTGATTAATGACCCTGCACACTTGCATCACCTCCACCCCCACGGTGGACTTTCCCATTCAAAACTGATTTGCGACTGACCAGTAGCAAATGGAGTTGCCATCTTCCACACAGCGACTGCCACTTGCTTTTCCACAGTGAGGGCAGCTCTCATTCTGGTGTCCTTGCGCCACAGTGCTAGGGCAAACTCCACACACTGTTCCAGGATGGTGGATTTGTGCATCCGAAAGTTCTGCAGCCACTGCTCGTCATCCCCTACACGCATCACGATGTGATCCCACCATTCAGAGCTTGTTTCCTGAGCCCAGTACCAATGGTCTACCAAGGCAGCAGCAATCTTGAATTATTTGTTTCCATGGTAGCCAGCAGGGAATGCATCACCGATTCACTCTCTGTTTTGCAGCTCATGAAATAACTGCAGGACCAGCCGCATTGTGTTCATAACACTCATCACCAGACTGGTCAATAGTCAAGAGCCATGCTGTCAGGCAGAGATGGCAGGTGCATAGTTTACAAGGACTGTTGAAAAATGGCATGAAATGAAGTAGGAAGCCCATGGAATGATGGAACGGAAAGAACTGCATCACGGGACAGCGAACACGTTCCCATGATGCACCGTGATCCATTCCCAGAGCTCCCAGAGGCAGAGGGTGACAGAGGGTGGCGAGTTGCACAGTGGGATAGCTACCCATGATGCAAAACACTGCCTGTCTATGCAAGAGCAACAATTGGGGACATGCTCTGCAGACACAAGTGACTTATGATCGTCAACATAACTTAAGTCGACTTAACTCTGTAGTGGAGACACGGTCTTAGTTTTTAAACATAGGGCTCAGTACTGTCCCTTGAAATGCACTGTATATTTCATTTACTTGTAGCACACTTATTAAAATTTGTAAATACAAAGTATAATTATGCTACCATATTTGCCTCACGTAAGTTATAGATGTAGAAAAATCCTATGTAGAGTCCTGCGCAGATACAAAATTTATATCTGCGGATATAAAGCGGATATCCGTGGAGCTGCAGGGCTCTTCCAGGAACCGCAGCAGCGAAAGCAGCAGCATGTCGGGCCGTCACTCTGTGTCTTCTGTCCGGGAGCGGGAGCCGCTTGCACATGCTTGCACCAGGGACAGCTGCCTGTGAGCCTAGTGCCCACCCCAGGGGGCAGGACTGGGGGCGATATAACCACACTGGAAGAGCTGCCCGGGCTGGGTGTTGGCTCTTGTAAGCGGCGGCCCAACATGCTGCTGCTTTTGTTGCTGTGGTTCCTGGTAGAGCCCTGCAGCTCTGCAGATATCCACTTTATATCTGTGGATAGCCGCATCCGCAGATATAAATTTTGTATCCGCGTAGGATTCTAACCCTCGGTCATCCAATCTATCAACCTGCAATGCAGCATATTTTTTAGTGCTTTTTAAAACTAAACTGGACAATGTGTTATGTTCTGGGATGGACCTCTCAGGTAAGAAACAACAATCACCCAGTCATAAAGGACTTGATTTTCCAAGGCTGAAAGTCAAGTGAATCTCTTCTTATCAAATTCTCCTCTAACAAAGGACTTGATCAACATTACCAATATTTCCCAGGCAGGTCTACCAGACACATACCTGATCAGGGTCTGATTCTATGAAAATATTGTGGAGCTCAGTAACATTACACACCAACCCCCTAGCAATTAGGTTCAAATCAGCAGCTGGTATAACTACAACAGCTTTCAGCATATGTATACGATGTTTGAGTAAAACACGCTCCACTAGGAGTTGGATCTTGCAGGATTTTCCAAGGCTGAAAGTCAAGTGAATCTCTTCTTATCAAATTCTCCTCTGACAGAGCCATGTTTGTAAAGTCAGTGTACCCTATAGAGCAGTGGCTCTCAACCTTTCAAGACTATTGTACCCCTTTCAGGAGTCTGATTTGTCTTGCGTACCCTCAAGTTTCACCTCACTTAAAACCAGAATAAAAATACAAAAGTGTCACAGCATACTATTACTGAAAAATAGCTTACTTCCTAATTTTTACCATATAATTATAAAATAAATCAATTGGAATATAAATATTGTACTTACATTTCAGTGTATAGAATACAGAGCAGTATAAACAAGTCATTGTCTATATGAAATTTTAGTTTGTACTGTCTTCACTAGTGCTTTTTATGTAGCCTGTTGTAAAACTAGGCAAAATATCTAGATGAGCTGAAGTACCCCCGGAAAACCTCTGCGTATGCCCAGGAGAACACCTACCTCTGGTTGAGAACCACTGCTGAAGAGTGCATAGAAAGCACCAGAGAGGTGGGAAGTGGCTAATCTCATCAAGAAATACCGAACAGGTATACAGCCCTACTACACAAGTCCAACAGACTCTGAGGTGGACATCAGTCTAATAGTGTCCTTTAGCCTGCACAGGAGTGACAGACCACAACAAACAAATAACTTATTTAATGGATTATAGTTTTACAGTTCAGACACACATCATAAGTTTCCCGTAACCAGTATTTTTTTATAGCTCTGATTTACTGAAACCAAATCAAATTACTTGACAAAACCCAGAGATAAAAATATATGTATATAGGATGTGCTATTTCAATACATGTATTTATTTTATTAATATATGTTTATGCCTGGCTTTCTACATTTTAATCTACTTTGTGGCTGCTCCATACGACAATAAATGTACAGTATTTAAAAAGAACGATGTGAACAATTCTCTATTTCCTAAAGAGTGAAACAATAAAAGTATAACAAGATGTCACAGTGAGATATAACAGAATCTTATTAATTTATTGTTAAAATTGTTTTAAAAGCTAAACAGGTTTACTAGTTTCAATACCTCTTTTTGAATGGACACACCAATGCCATGTAGCTTACCTGACTGCAATGGTTTTTTATCTTGATTTTTCCACAGTGACCAATTTCTATCTCTGGAAACTGCTAATAAGAATTTGTCATCAGGAGAAAATGCCATCTGAGTAACGGTCAGATTGTGAAAAGACAAGCTTTGCAGCTGCTTCCAAGAAGTGGTGCTCCACAAAATAATTGCTGCGTGTTCTTTTTTGGAAGCCTGTAAGGACAGGGACAAAACCACTGAAAATGAAGGAAAGGAAACAAAAAACAAAATGACACCACCTTAAAATATTAGCATGATTTTTTTAATGCCTGCAACTGAGTTAGATTGAATTTTCCTCTAGAAAGTTCCAAATTTTATTTTCACTCACATGTTACTATGATAGTAAGGATGTTTCCTGCTTAAACTTTCTACTAAACCCTGGAAGATGACAACAGTATATGTATGAATTCTGACAATTCACTTTCTTCTTAACTTGCTCAACACCAAAAATACCACAAATCATTTATTATTACTAATTTTTGTACATTCATTTGCACATGTCCATAAGGCCAAATATACCCATTTTATGGATGGACAAACTGAGGCACAGAAAAGTTAATTGGCTTGCCCCGAGTCACTGGGACTCAAGTAGCAGAATGTAGACCACAATTTAGAATTCTGTCTCCCAATCCTGTGCTCTAACTTTTAGACCACAATCCTTGTCAATCTGATATCATATAACCTTTTTCAATAAATGGTGCTAAAATCTCTCTTTTCTTACCTTACATGCTGAGGCAACTATAGTTTTTGAATTGTTACAAGCAACACAAAATATTTCATAGCCATGTCCGTATCTGAAACAGAAAATAAAATTTGTTATACAGATTACACAATCTCAGTGATACGTTTCAAGATTTATATAGGTTTTTTTTAAAAAACACCACTGAAGTGTAAATTATGAGGCAATCTCAAAAACAACAATATGAGTATGTAATCTCCTGCATTTTTCCCTCAGTCCTCTAGATCAAATCAATAAAGGAAGCAGTATTTAAAAGGCAATTCAAACCCTTCACGAACAGAATAAAAACGAGTTTGCCATTTACTTTACTGTTGTTAAATATCTATATTACAATAATGGCTGGAGGACCCAATCAGAATCAGGGACCCATTGTGCTAGGTGTTATACAAACATATAAAGACAAAGTCCCTTACCCAAAGAGTTTACAATCTAAAAATGACAAATGACACACATGGTGGGTTTTTTCATGGGTGGGGGAGGTCACAATTGTATATTAATACATGAACTCCCCCCACACAATACATGCACATCAACACAAATCAGCCAGTCTTTCCTCAATACCTTTTTTGCACAGTTCTAGAAAATCACATTCACTCATGTCTGGGGAACAGGGTGCTTGAAGGTTAGAATCTACTCTGAAGCACAGCCACAACATAGTATATTGTCTGAAGTGTATCACTGTTGTGCTAGTAGCAAAGTGTGAATGAGATTCTGGGTAGAGGACTAGAGGGTACACACTACTGGATGCCTTAACTTAGTCTGTTTTGTGTTAGGTATGTTATGTACAGACTAACCTGAAGTGACACACAACATAGTAGTGTTATGTATTAATTTCCCAGATGTGGGGGGTTGGTTGGTTGTTTTTTTAAGATTTCGGAAGAGAGCTGCAATAAGAAGAAGAGGATCTTTGTTAAGCTGTCTGATTGTCTTGGGACTTCACTTTCATGAAAGGGCACTTTTATGAAGGTTTTTTTCTTCAGGAAAGTAATCAGTGCTTTGCTGAAAATCTTCCTGTACAAACAACAAGAATGATGTTGGACTAGAGAGCCTACCGCCCCCATGCTCTTGAGCGGGCTGAATCAATTCACAAAGAATAGGATCCTCAACCCAGCAGCTGTTGCTTTGTCAAAGACCTTGTTCTCTGTTCATTGTTCTCAGCTGGTTGAAGAGCAAAGCACTGTTTTTCCCCCAGAAAGAGAGGATGAGATCCCAATTTAAGGGCAAAATAGAACTCGAAAGAACTTAGTATAAGGCCTTTCTACACTACACACTTTTGTCAACAAAACAGTGGATGTGTACACATTGAAATGCTCCTCCCACCGAAGTAACTCCCCTGCTCAGTTTTTCAGCATCCTTCTTGAATTGTGGACAGTCTCACCAGTGCAAACTACAGAAGTAAAATATCCTCTCCACTCCTTCTCGATATCCCCCGGTTTGTACATACAAGCATTATGTTAGCACTTTTGACCACAGTGTTGCACTGGAAGCTCATGTTCAGCTGATTATACATCATGACTCCCATGTTCTTTTACGAGCCACTGCTCTACAAGTGTCTTCCTCCATTCTAAAAAAAGAACAGGAGTACTTGTGGCACCTTAGAGACTAACAAATTTATTAGAGCATAAGCTTTCGTGGACTACAGCCCACTTCTTCGGATGCATATGTATGGGCTACATTCTATATTCATAGGGTTCTGCTGTCATCTACATTTCTTTATTACTGATTATCTTGTTAGCGCACATATTATTTTAATCCTTTCTTTCTAAACGATATTTTTTAGTATTTGTATTATACTAGTGATAAGAGGCCTCAGTGAGGATGTAAGCATAAGCTGCCTAATTAGCAGCAGCTGTTTTCCTCAAAGCAAAATTCAGATGGTCAACAAAATGTTTGTTAAAGATTAAGCCTCATTTGATAAAAATACAAATTAAAAAGAGAAAAAGCTGGGAACTTTGTCCTTCTATAGAAAGGACATATAAAGTGTAGCATGCATAGCTCCAAAAAGTCACCCTTGTCTTCCTAGCATTAATATGACTGTGTTCCATTCAAATATAAGATATCCCCAAATCCCCCGTTATTCTGGACACTTAGATGTTTAATAACATGTTTTGCATTCTTCTCCTCTGAAGAAAAACAATTATTTTATTTCAGCACTTTCCCCTGCAAATGGACGATTGTTTCCCTAGAGCTGTCCAAATGTTGAGCACCGGGCTCTTTCAATGGCATGGTTTATAGAATGATGTGGCTCCCTGACTTTAAAGTAGGTATTATGACAAAACTGCCACTGAAATAAAATAGGTTTGTTTTCTAAAAATGATCATAAAGCATGATTAAGGTGGCAAATGTATATGGCAAGCAGGTGCAGCCACTAACTCTCTGGGAAGTTGTTGATGCAGTTCTTGGTTTTGAAAAGCTAGGGAAACCCTGCTCTACAGACTCTAAGCTGGAGGGATTCAATTGAGAGTGGTGGGAGATGAGGGTGGGTGTACTCAAGTATGGCATTCTTGCATCTCTCCAAGATGTCATCTTGTGCTCTAAAATCTAAGCTTTGTTTTAAAACAAGTATCTAACTGTCATGATTGCGTATAAAATCCTGTAAATTTGAACCGAGTGTAACACAGAATCATAGATTAGTGTTGGAAGAGACCTCAGGAGGTCATCTAGTCCAACCCCCTGCTCAAAACAGGACCAATCCCAACTAAATCATCCCAGCCAGGGCTTTGTCAAGCTGGGCCTTAAAAACCTCTACGGATGGAGATTCCACCACCTACCTGAATGACTTAT